TTGAATTGAAGTGTAATAAGTATTTAATAATAATAATAATAATGTAATAACAACCAACAATGTGATAACTATAGTGAGATAATAAAGTAATAACATCTCAACAATAATGTAATAAGTCTGGGGCTTTTGGGCCACTAAGTACCAACAAAAAGAGAAAGATCTGGTTCTCTCAGATCTAAACCAGGTCTAAACCAGGACTATTGTAAATCTAATCTAGAACTAAACCAGGTCCAAACCAGGTCTATTGTAGGTCCAAACCAGGTCTAAACCAGGTCTAAACCAGGACTAAACCAGGACTAAACCAGGACTAAACCAGGTCTAAACCAGGACTATTGTAAATCTAATCTAGAACTAAACCAGGTCCAAACCAGGTCTAGTGTAGGTCCAAACCAGGTCTAAACCAGGTCTAAACCAGGTCTAAACCAGGTCTAAACCAGGACTAAACCAGGTCTAAACCAGGTCTAAACCAGGTCTAAACCAGGACTAAACCAGGACTAAACCAGGTCCAAACCAGGTCCAAACCAGGTCCAAACCAGGTCTAAACCAGGTCTAAACCAGGTCTAAACCAGGACTAAACCAGGACTAAACCAGGTCTAAACCAGGTCTAAACCAGGTCTAAACCAGGACTTTAACAGGACTATTGTAGGTCTAATCTAGGACTAAACCAGGACTATAACAGGACTACACATTTCACATTTCCTGACTGTACCTGCTCGTCTCCATGGTGATGTTATTGCCTGAAATGTTCCATTGTGTTTCAAAAAGCACAATCATAAAACATTGACAGCAAACATAAGTGTCTAATGACGCCATCTGGTGTCTGTGTTGGAGATTACTTAAAAAAAAAAAAAACTTAATGAAATATTATTTATTTATTTTTTAAAATCATGAGAACAGATTCAATACGGAATTGAACATTTTTCACAAAAATTCATTAGTTGTATTCAATCTGTTTGAGAATTGTACAATGAAGTATCACGATGTATCACTGAATTTATTTTTTTTTTTACACCCCCTAGTGGATAGATAAGTCAGGGTTCCCTGATTATTCCTGAATGTTTACGCCTTTTGTTTAAAATGCACTGACAGGACTTTGAATGTTAAAAAACTATAATCCCAAACTAGAGCTGTTCGATTATGGAAAAAAATCATTATTTTTGATCAATTTTGAAATCACAATTATTCAAACATTTTTTTTGTTACATGTTGCATTTATTTAGCATTCAAAACATTCAAATTGAAAATAAATATCAGCTACAAATCTGAACCTTAGAGTAGTTTTGTGATGTATAAAACATAAAATGAATAAAGTAAACTTTGAACATTAAAATAAGGCAAAGAAAAACAGAAATCCAAAATATATCCAAAAATAAACGATATACCCAGCTGGTTTACAATCTATATATTTAAAAAATAAAATAAATATACTTATTTATATTAAAAATATCCCAAAATAAACTTTGTTAAGCTTTAAATTGTCACTTGATTATATGATTTTTGGAGATCGTTTGACACACAAATCAAAATTGTGATCAAAATTCAATACAGACTTAGGTGTGCAGTTAATTGAAGGTGAGTGGAATGGGTTTCATATTTAGCCCTAAAAGTCTGATCAATTCTACACATGTAGGTGCTGTAAAGTCATGGAAAATTCACTTTAGGTCATGAAAAAGTCATTGAAAAGTTTTGAAATTTTGTCAGTGAAAAAGAGCAGGGACCCTGATAAGTGACATAAATGAGCCTGGATTTAAACAGGCAAGAGTCCATGTTGTTGCACATATCAGCCTCGTTATGCAGAGTTTGTGTGTTAAACATGTGTGACTGAAACAAAAAAACACAACTCCAGGTCTCTTTGTGACGAGGAACCTACATTAGAACATAGAACATAGTGTAGTACATTCCCTTGTCTGTAAGTGACTGTGTCTGTCTCTGTGTCTCTGTGTCTCTGTGTGTGTGTGTGTCTGTGTGTCTGTGTGTCTGTGTGTCTGTGTGTCTGTGTGTCTGTGTGCAGCTCGGATCACTCAGCTGGTTCGTGGTTTCTCCTCGTCCTGGAAACAGTCTGTGGAGGCCATGAGTCAGGAGGTCATGAGGTCCTTCACCAACTTCAAGAACGGCACCAGCATCATCCAGGTCAGTGCTGCACGAGGGCTGTTCCGATGGACGATGTCGTCGTTCATGATCATGGATGATCCGGAACGTTGGGCTCAGAGAAGTAACAAAAATAAACCAAGGTGGAAGAATGGAATAAATTAAATAAGGTTTAATTAACAGGAATGTAAAGGTGAATCAACAAAACAGACTAAAATATACAGGAAATAATCTAAACTTAAAGGTTGTATGGAGGATTTTTTTTGTTTCAAATTGTCAATGATAGATTATAAAGATGCAGTCGCCTTGTAATTATGATGACCAAAAAAAAGAGAATAAAAATTCATCAACTCTGGACGTGGTGGGGCTAAACATTTGCCAATAGATAACGACACTGCCTCGTTATCTGTGAGCTGACAGGCTGTCAATCAAACTCCCTACGTTTCTAGCGTAACTGACTTGCCTGCGCCGCCGGTACGTGGTTTACGTACGACTGTCACGCAGTCCACAGACGCAAGACGCACAGACGCTGTTTACTCCACCAACGCAACAGTTCTTAGCGGCTTTTTTTTGACCTATATCTTCCTCGCAGTTCGCACAAAGTTTGTTGCAATGGCGACAAGAATCCAGGAGCAGTTCGCCGCAAAAGAAAGTCCGTTTTTGAGGTCGCTGAAAGAAGAAGACAAGGGGAAAAGCAGCGAAGCCAAACTAAGGTGATTCTTGGAGATTCATTCCAGCGATGGCGCGACTGAAGCAGACGCAGGGTCTAAAGACTGACGCACTGGTCCACAAATTACTCCTGGACAGGAAACTTCTGCTTATTATGAAAACGTACTTTATTTCCAAGAGCTACACAAACGTTTTTCAGGACACGAATGTGATATCCTATGTCTGAAAACGTCATTTTCAAGGCAAAGAAAGAGTCCGCTTGCTGCTGCGTGTTGTAGCTAGTTCATTCGCACGGAATCTCCACGCACCTTCTCTGCACCCCTTTCCTGCTCCTGTCCCCGCTGCCCGTTCCACTTCCCCCTGCTCCTCACTTCTTTTCTGCGCACCAAATATCCGCGCACCCCCTCCCCCCGCTCCTCACTTCTCCGTCTTGCCTAACCAACACTGTAGTTAGTTGTTTACAAGTCATGTGCAGTTCACCGGCTGTAAACAAACCTGTTTCTGGCGTAAGGAGGAGGAGGGAGGAGGCGTTTCTACGTAGGAGCTGTAGGGGAGGGGAGGTGGTTTCACACGCATGCGCAACATTTGAAAAAAGGACAAACAGTCGCTGGATTTCTCGTTCCTTGGAAAATCCTCTATACAACCTTTAAGAACAAGACAACGAGTTTAGTGCCACAAAATGGGTCACACAGACTTACACAAAACAGGCAGTTAAAGTCACAATAACTGGGTCCCCACGGGCAGTTCATGAGCAATTTTTGGCCAAGTCTGTACGGGGCTCGGAAGTGGCCCGTACAGGATTCCAAGCTCGTAGACGCCCGGTGAGGCTGTAGGGAGGAAATGTTCAGCTCATAGCAACACGTATCTCACACTTACGGGGGAAGTACGGGTCAAGTGCGCGTCACGTATGTGTGTCGTACAGGTTTTTCCATTTTCTGAAGCAGACGACCGTCATGTCTTGGCATGGCCATGGTCAAACGATGGATGAGTACGATGTGATGGAGTGGTGATGACCAGCGCAGTATTATAAAGCACAGAGCGTAAGAGACTTGAACTTGCCTCGGACAAGCGACTAGAGTGCGTTGCGAGTGGCCCGTACGAGCTTTTGACTTGTACATGACCCTCGCGTGGCTCTTAAGTTCGGCGTACTATTGCCTCACAACAGTCTTAAGACCCGCACGACACTCGCATGCCTCACTTACCGAAATTTTTCCCAGGGTCCCAAGCAAGCCACACTCGCACCACCCTCACGAAGCACTTAGAAAAGTCTGTCTCCTCTACAGAACCCCACGGGCCAAGAAATGTCAGCACCTGTACCGGTGAATCGCTCTTGCGGGTTATTGTGACTAAGCCTCAACTAAGGGACACACACAAAACTAAACCACAAGTTCCCAAAATTAAACCACATAAACTTACAAAGAGAATCGAGTGAGCAAATTAAAAAAGGCACAAAACAGAACTAAACGACAAAACTACACACACGAACACAAACGCAAACTGTCAGACTGGTCACCGAGGCCACCAGCCCTGAACAGGTGCAGGTGATCTCCTTCACCAGGGGGAGGAGGCAGGATTGGCCACGTGTAGAAGTGATCCACCAATCAGGGACCGGGGCTCACACAGCAGGATCCCAGGGGAACAATAAAGAAATTAAAACACACTGATCTTCTGTAGGCCCTACTACAGGGGTGGGCAAACTTTTTGACTCGCGGGCCACATACGGTCCTAAAATTTGCCTGAAGGGCCGGACAGAACACAGGACATGACGTGTTAAGAGCTCAGCTGCATTCTATTCGTATTTACGCTCATGTAGGAAGCGCACTACGACATCGCCGTGAAAGATCAGGAACACACAAAAAACAACAGATCCGCTCCACACCACAGGCGAAGGTGAATTATAAGGAATTAAATTTTACTAAGAAACAAAACCCGCGCTACGACATCACATGCAATTCAACAGGACTTTTAAGACTTTCTGTGGGTTAAGTCCTATAACACAACATCTATAAAGTTCTTGTTTTTGATTTTTACCAACTCAAAATGGAAGCAGTGCAAAGTTATATCTTGAACACCACTACTTCACTCATGGTCCGAATAACTCCTGTAAGAACACTTTCCCATAAAGCATTGCGGCCAACATAATACGCCGCACCTCAATGTATATTTATATAGTGCGCCATCTACTGGGAAAACGCGGAAATGCATGAAAAATAAAACATCAACAAGGTTTATTATTGTAATTTATTCCACTTCGGTGGGCCGGATTAAAAGGTTTAAAGGGCCATAGTTTGCCCACCCCTGCCCTAGTGGCACAAGATCTTGTCCTGTTCCTCGTTTGAATTAATAAGTGTTGTGTGTGTTTTGTGTGTGTTTTGTGTGTGTTTTGTGTGTTTGTGCGTCCAGGGCGCTCTGACTCAGCTGATCCAGTACTACCACGGATTCCACAAGGTCCTGAACCAGCCGACCTTCAGAGCCCTGAGCGTCCGATCAGAACTCATCAACCTGCACCACCTCATGGTCGAAGTGAAGAAGCACAAGCCCAACTTCTGACCGAAGACGAGGGGCGCTGGAGAGGAGGAGGAGGAGGAGGAGGAGGAGGAAGAAAGGGAGGAGACAGGTGGAAAAGAGAATAGGAGGAGATGAGATGAGGAGAAAGAGCGGATAAGTGGATGGAACCAGGGCCCAGCCTAACACTAAACTAAACGTAGAAAAGAGAGAACGAGACAGAGCGAGTGAGAAGGACAGATGCACTGGACCCAACCGGCCACAAGGGGGCACCAAACGACTTTCTAAACTTAATGTGTGAGAAAGAGGAGAGGAGAGAGAAATTAAAGTCCTGGAGTGAGAGAAAAGGGTCGTTAAAGACGCATTATGTCACTTTTCTGGTGGAGGTTTTAGTCTTAATCAATAAAACATAATTAAAAATACTCCAGTCACACCTGATAGCTGCATCCACTCGTGTTTATAAGTTTAATGCCGTGCTGTGGAACATTCCAGGCAGAGCAGTAGCATCTCCTTGGAGACGAGCGGGTGGCACACAGAGCACCCTCCACCAGAAAAGTGACTCTAGTTCTCATTATAAACACACACTCTGCTCATGAAGACACAAGCCTCTTTTCTGCTGCTGCTCTTTGGTCTGTGGTGAAATTACTAAATGTTTTTTTTTGTTCATCGCTGAGATCGGCTTTATAATTCCAAGTTATTGAAGCTAAAGTTAACGTAAACACAAAACTAATTCCGTTTTTTTGTATAAGTAAAGAATTGTTTTGGTTTATGTTTGATTACCGTATTTTTCCGACTATAAATCGCTCCGGAGTACATCACACTTTTTTGGGGGGAAATGTATTTTATAAAACGAGAGAGCAGGAGCCGACATTTCCTGTGTAAAATCAAGTTGCAGTAAAAACAATAGAAGAGAGAAGAACAGACTATTAACGTCACATATGAACAGTTCTTCAGATTAAATATAACATAAACAACAGAACAAGTTTAACAAACTCTTCATCTCACTCCAAATCACTAAATCCTCCGGAGGTAAAAAGAGCGACGCTTCCTCTTCTGCGTCGCTGTCGTCAGACTCAGAATCAGTTCCAGTTAGAATTATTCGGGTCTTTCTGAATCCCGACAGGATGGTTTCGGTGTCACTGAAGTCCAGGCTTTGTCCATCATCCAGTGACTCCAGGAAAGTTTCATGGTGCATCCTCCCGGTGTCACAAGTTTCTCTCTCACTCCAAATTTTCTTTCTGCTGCTCGATTATCGTTTTCAGCTGCAGATTTCACGACTTGCAGTTTGTAATCTTCAAAATCAGATTTAGTTTTTGGGGGCATTTATGTTCAGTCTTCTCAGTCTTTGTCTTTATAAGTTTGTTTAAATGTTAAATTGTTCAGTGGTGCAGAAGTAACGGTGCGATCGACTGACATGATACAGACAGAACAGAGGCTCTTTCTGCAGGAGACATGTGCTCTCTTGTGACAGTCTCATGGACTTATAGTCTGAAAAATACAGTAATTAATTAATCATTGTATTTTTGCACGTTTCAAGGCACCCTAGTGTTTTACAGAGTATTATTCATTCACTCCACAACCATCATTCACAAACATTCTTCTTTCTCATGAGGCAAACTGGGTTTAGTTTCTTCCCCAAGGAGACAACAACAGTTTTTGAGACTGGCGCCCCCTTGTGTCTCCTGGTGTTCTCAGCGTCTCCCGTCCGAGTCCTCAGGCCCTGCTGAGCTTCTGAGTCTGACGGGTTCAGGCCTGGATGAGTTACACACTGGAAACATCAGACTTTTACGTGAGCGTCGTGGAGATTTATCACAAGATGAAGTCTGTGTTTGGTGACAGATTTTTATTTTATGTTTTTTTTTTTTTTTTTTTTACGTCTTGTTTTCACCCGACTCTGCATTTTCTCTCGTCCAATCATCTTGTTTTGATCCTGATCTGGCTCAAAGTGCGCGCCCGTGTGTGTGTATGGAAGTGTCTCTGTGTGTTTTAAGTTTTGCACTTTTTACGATGAAATATTCTGACTGATCTCGAAGTACAAGTACTACAAAACCTGACAGCAGAAGTACTGTGTCTTTACTGTACAGCGTAGTAACTCTGGTATTTATGTTACACAGAATCATCCTCATTTTAGGTGAATGAAGTCTTTATTTCAAATGCATTTATATAAAACAAAAGTTAGAACAGGATGGTGGTTCTGTAACGGAGAGAAGATTGTAAAGTGTAAATGTACAAAGCCCCTGTGGACCAGTGTAAATGTTTGTGTATTTCATTTGTTTGAAAAGTAGTGAGTTTAAATTTTTCTGATTCATGTTCAAATGTCGTTTCCTCATCACAAACAGACCTGGAGTTTTGTTTTGTTTATTTTATTTACACACTTTTAACGCAGAAACCTGCAGATTTAGCCTTGGAAATGTCAATCTCACTGAACAAAAAGTCAAATGTAGCTGATAACTAACGCTTCATGCATGACATCACAAGGTGGAACAGAGCATTTTGAGCTCTGGAGGTGCAGATAGACTAATAATAAAAGATTAATCAAACATGTGTGAATGAAACAAAACATGACTCCTCTGTTTTAATGAGGTAAAACATTATAATACGACTTAAAGTTCACAAGAGTCCATTTGTGTGACCTTTAAAACACGTGGTCGATGATGTAAACAGCTCAAAAAATAAAGGAGAAATCCTGTTGAAGAAAGAGTTAAAGTGTCTGTGTTGTTTTTTTTTAAAGACAATAGTAATGATAATTAGGGCTGGGCAAAAATAAAAAATATTAATCCCATTAATCACATGCGTTAGAGTGCGATTAATCATGATTAATCGCATGTTATACACAAAACCAATTAATTAAATAAAAAGTACTTTTATTGGAAATGGAAATGAAAGAGCCAAACATTTGTTGTGCAAACAGTATTTCTTTCAGAGGGAACCTCAGAGTCTTCAAGGTTTTCTGAAGGCTCAGGCTTTTGTACTACTAATATATTTTTTCAATATTTGTTATTTTTTTATTCAGTAAGTAACAAACACGACACTAGTAATAATTTCTAGATCATTGTCATAAACTTGGATTAATATTTCTTGGGAAACAAAGGTTATTTATAACCTTTTATAAGTTAATATAATGGAATGGAAATGGACCAATCACAGTTTTTCTTCCAGTGGTATCTGGGTAAATCAGTGACTCCCCCTGCAGCACTGAACAAAACTAAACAACAACAAACACACTGAACAAACACTGCACTGCACTGAACTAAACAAACACCTGCAGCACTGAACTAAACAAACACCTGCACTGCAAACACCTGCAGCACTGCAGCACTGAACTAAACAAACACCTGCAACACTGAACTAAACACCTGCAGGACCTTCGGCGGCTGGAACGAAGTTTGAAATTGACAGTTGTCTGATCCAATCATATTTCATTGAGTTATGGGCGGGATCATGTCATGAAATCTTCCGGGCCTTCGCGAATACCCTGTGATAGCAAATGTAAGTGAGACCACAGCGACGAAAACCGCACTGGACACCTTGATTTGGACGCCTCAGGGGCCCGGTCGGAGCGAGGAGCCTGCAGAATCTTAGAGCCCACGACCGGTCTGGCCTGGCCACGAGCCACGTATGCATCTCTCAAAGAAAAAAGTGTAAAGAAAAGACGTCAAACTTAAAGAAACGCTCGCGGTGGACTTTTTCAAAATAAAAGCCAGTGAGCAACAGATGTTTACAATAAAAAAATAATAAAAATTGCGTTAACGGCGTTAAAATAATTGTCGGCGATAATTAATTAATTAGTTAACGCAAAATTAACGCGTTAAAGTGCCCGGCCCTAATAATAATACTCCAGTAATAAACATGAAAACAAAACAAAAAACTTAAAATAAAAAGGATCATTATTTTTGATCGAGAGCAGCTCCTCGTGTCAGACATTTCAAGGATACAGGAGGAAGGGAGGGCATCTGACACAGGGATACACAGCGTTCCCACGGTCATGGAAATCCTGGAAAAGTCATGGAAATCGAAAATTTTAGTTTTGGAAAAGTAATGGAATTTTAGCAAGTTTGAGTCTATTCTGATTATTTGTGAATGTCTGCGCCTTTTGTTTAAAAGAGACGACAATAAATGCACTGACAGGATTTTGAACGTTAAAAAAGTATAATCCTAAACCATAAGGTGAGTGGAAAGAGTTAACGTTTCATATTTAACCCTAAAAGTCTGATCAGTTCTACACATGTAGGTGTTGTAAAGTCATGGAAATTTCACTTTAGGTCATGAAAAAGTCATGGAAAAGTTTTGAAATTTTGTCAGTGAAAAAGAATGGGAACCCTGGATCCAGGAGGACGGGAGGGCATCTGACACAGAGACACGGCCTAAGCAAAAGATGTTCATTTTGTCTTCTTCCGTCAACAGCTCGTACACCCCAAGGACAAAATCCCACAAGAACAAAAATGCAATGCCATCTACGAAATCCAATGCAAATCATGCAATAAATCATACATAGGGGAAACAGGCCGGGCATTTCACATCCGAAAAAAAGGAACACCAAAAGGAATGCGAAAAGGAAACGTCAGGGAGACTCACCAGAACACAAAAAGACAAAGCAGAACAGGAAAACCTAAAATCCGCCATATCAGACACTGTAAAAGGAACAACCACGTTATGGATCAGGACGGGGCTCGGGTCATTGGATCGGAAAACAACAAGTTCAAACGCTGGATCATTGAAATCAGAAAGCGAGGCACGGACAGCATTAACCGGGACGACGGCGCGTTCCTCCTTTCACACACCTGGGACACCCTCCTCCAGAGACACAGCGGGCGAAGGGAGGCGTGGTCAGTCTGAGCGACCTGCCAGGTCCATCAGGCTGACCACGCCTACAGGAAGTAACAACAGCTGATATACGACACGTCACCACCAACACCGGTGACAGTTCTGAAGATGGCTTGCAGCTAGCAGCCGAAACATGTCAACAAGGTGGACGCACTTTGCTGCATTGTCTTTAAAAAGAACCCAAGAAGTTAGAGACACGGCCTGTCTACTTGTGGGGCGGGTCTACAGGTGAGGAGGTTCGTTGGAGCCGGGTGTGGGTGCGACAGGTCCGATTTTTTGTAGCCGGGTGTGGAAGCGACACAAACAGAAGAGCGTCGGACAGTCTTCTCCACACTGAGCACACGACCTGTTCCATTGAGCAGCTCTTGGAAAAACTGGAACAGAGAAACATGAGAATGTGGAATCAAACACTCCTTTAGGACATGGAATCAAACTCAGACTGAGACTCAGACTGTTCCTTCAGGTGTTGAGTTTTTCTTTCTTCTCCTCGTTCCAGCTCAGATAAAAAGGTGAATGTGGGCTTTACCTGTTTGATTGTTTCGCTGACAGAGCTGCTGTTGGCAGATGAAACTATCCTCATTTGAAAAAAGATTTTGTATGAACCTGTAACAACATAAACACACACGTGAAATACTAGAATTGAAAACAGAAAAACAAATAAAGAACAGTACACATGAGGATTGTATGGTTTTGTTTTTTGGGCTAAATTTTTCAGCACATGCCGTTCACGGGACTCGAGTGAGTGACTGTTGTGTTGAAGAAGATATTTGTTTTTCTTGTATCTACGGAGATCACGCAGGAACCAGGTTGGCAACACCTAGTGCCTCCGCTCAATTTAATTTCTTTCCAGCAACTAGGTCAGGAATGGGCATGTGATGTCCAGTTATGTGCTGCCATTCCAACATACATCACACAACGTGTCATGGTGCCACATGCACTGATGGACACTCTTGTTCTTGAACATGGTGTTTGTTATGGACAAACTGTGACTAGCACAGAAGTCCAGTAACAGAACACCGCTCGGGTTCAGATCAGGGTGGCCGTTCCTCCCGATCACCCCTCTCCAAGTGTCATTTTCGTTGCCCACGTGGGCGTTGAAGTCCCCCAGTAGAACAACCCTGGTCGGTGCACTGTCTAGTACCGCTCCCATGGACTCCAAGAATGCCGGGTACTCTGCACTGCTGTTCAGCCCGTAGGCCGACACCACAGTGAAAGACCTGTCAACGACCCGAAGGTGCAGGGATGCGACCCTGTCATTCACCGGGGTGAACTCCAACACGTGACGTCTGAGCTATGGGACTATAAGCAAGCCCACACCAGCCCGCCACAGCTCCTCCCAAGAACCTGGGTTCCAGAGCTGTGTGTGGAGGTGAGGCCGACTATATCTAGACGGTACCTCTCAACCTCCTGCACAAGCTCAGGATCCTTCCCCCCAGCGAGGTGATGTTCCATGTTCCCACAGCCAGGTTCTGTGCCTGTGGACTAGGTTGTCAAGACCTCTGATCTTGACTGGCACCTGCGGGTGGTGAGACCACAGGAGGGCGACCCCACATCTCCTTAGCTAGTCCTTGTCCTCTGGGCAAAGGCCCGGTCACCAGGTGCCCACCTTCAAGCCCCAACCCCAGGCTTGGCTCCAGGATGGGGCCCCGGCTGAGCCATAACAGGCGACGTCATGATCCTTGATATCAGACTATTCACAGGGGTTCATGACCTGCTCTTAGTCTGACCTGTCACCTTGGACCTGTTTGCCATGGGAGACCCTTCCAGGAGCATAATGCCCCAGGCAACATACTGTAACTTCTAGGATCATTCAGGTACACAAACTCCTCCACCATGGAAAGGTGGCAGGTCAACGAGCATTAGGGTTAGACGCACCACTGCAGATGCTGTATCAGACTGTTGAGGTGAAGNGGATCGGAAAACAACAAGTTCAAACGCTGGATCATTGAAATCAGAAAGCGAGGCACGGACAGCATTAACCGGGACGACGGCGCGTTCCTCCTTTCACACACCTGGGACACCCTCCTCCAGAGACACCGGGCGAAGGGAGAGGCGTGGTCAGTCTGAGCGACCTGCCAGGTCCATCAGGCTGACCACGCCTACAGGAAGTAACAACAGCTGATATACGACACGTCACCACCAACACCGGTGACAGTTCTGAAGATGGCTTGCAGCTAGCAGCCGAAACATGTCAACAAGGTGGACGCACTTTGCTGCATTGTCTTTAAAAAGAACCCAAGAAGTTAGAGACACGGCCTGTCTACTTGTGGGGCGGGTCTACAGGTGAGGAGGTTCGTTGGAGCCGGGTGTGGGTGCGACAGGTCCGATTTTTTGTAGCCGGGTGTGGAAGCGACACAACAGAAGAGCGTCGGACAGTCTTCTCCACACTGAGCACACGACCTGTTCCATTGAGCAGCTCTTGGAAAAACTGGAACAGAGAAACATGAGAATGTGGAATCAAACACTCCTTTAGGACATGGAATCAAATACCCCTTTAGGACATGGAATCAAACTCAGACTGAGACTCAGACTGTTCCTTCAGGTGTTGAGTTTTTCTTTCTTCTCCTCGTTCCAGCTCAGATAAAAAGGTGAATGTGGGCTTTACCTGTTTGATTGTTTCGCTGACAGAGCTGCTGTTGGCAGATGAAACTATCCTCATTTGAAAAAAGATTTTGTATGAACCTGTAACAACATAAACACACACGTGAAATACTAGAATTGAAAACAGAAAAACAAATAAAAGAACAGTACACATGAGGATTGTATGGTTTTGTTTTTTGGGCTAAATTTTTCAGCACATGCCGTTCACGGGACTCGAGTGAGTGACTGTTGTGTTGAAGAAGATATTTGTTTTTCTTGTATCTACGGAGATCACG